TAATAATAATAATAATAATAATAAACAATAACAATAATAATAATAACAATAATATCGCCAAATTGTTTTCCTTGTAATGTCGCCAGAAGCCCTTTACCCGACCTTGCAGAGATTGATGAGACATTGTTCAGACTATTGTGCAGGTCCCTTGTCCGTAAAATAAGCCCGTGACACTGCAACACAAATTTCGGGATTACTCGATTATTTCATTCCGAAGACACAATAATCATTGCAATTCAAATCATATGATTTTGGCCATCAGGATGTTTGTAAATGTTGTTATTAATGCTTCTGACATCTAGAAAGATCATATTGTGTTGAAGTTACGTAAAACATGCATTGAAGCCTTATTGATTCAGATAAACGCGAGAAGCTAGCTAGATTCCCTGATTGTATTGCAAGCATCAAAGACGAAACTATAGAAGACCAAATAATGGTTGTGCCACAAAATAAATACATGGGGATATATTGCTTGAACTCTTTAATTATCTGACTTGTAAATTGTTGACATGTACACTGTTTAAGGATGCAACTAATGATTCCAGTTATTTAAAAGACAAAGCTATAGTGACGCCAACATTGAAAGTGGTTGAGTTTGTCAACAAAGCCGGCCCTGGGGTAGGGCTAGCGGGGCGGCCACCCAGGGTCCAAAAATTTCTAAGGGCACAGATTATTAAAATATTTTAAAGGAAAAAAAAATATTTTAGTATAATTATAATAATTAGTTATAATGAGTTAATTTTTTCCCTTAATTTTTACATAACTAAATATCGTTTTCTTTTTTTTATGTGAGTTCTAATGATGAAATTAGTTTATAATAATTGATAATTAAATTAAATATTCTTTTATATATTTTGTTCTCTCTTTTTTTTCATTCGATCTATAAAATTATTTTTTAACTTCTTACTTGAATATGAAAAATGTTACTTGTGTGCATATAACTCAATCATATAAGGGATAGTCATTATAGGGCATCGAGTTATTAATTTTAAATGTGAGTTTCAATTTGTTGCTTATTTGGTTATTATATATATATTTTAAAAATAATATTATTTAGTATTTTTGCAACAAAAAAGTTGACTATTCTAGATTACAATAAATTTAAATATATCGTTAATGTGAAAAAGAGTTTAAAACCTTGTTTATATTTTGTCGTCTTTTTTTATACACAGTCTGAACATGATTTATTCTTTTACTTATTGTCAATGTTTTAAATAAAATTTTATAATTTTGTTATAATCTTCATTATTTTTTCTACAACATGATAAATTGTTTATGATTTTTTAATAAAAACAATACGGGCACTATTTACTCATTTGGCCCAGGGCCTATAGTTTTTAAGGACCGGTTCTGTTTGTCAGTCGTTGATTTTGTTTGATGGTTGTACGTATTTGAATCCTAATAGTACACTCAAGTCTGGTTCAAACATTGAGTTTTTGTTCGATCTCCACACACTTGAGTTCTTGAATACATATGTTCGTGAGTACCGAATCACGATTTACATGTAACTATAGGAACCTGCCCATATTGTTGCGGAACATATTGACTATTTTATGTGGTTGTACAATTTGATACAATTGGTTAAGACCGACCAAGCTATTAACTCATATGCTCGAATGAGAGACACTAACTCCCACGCTGATGAGAAGATGTTGGTTCAACATTTGACTCTTAAGGCCTTCCATTGTTAGTATATATATACCTTTTAATTTTCAGTGGAGTCAACTTTGTTTTAGGATTTTTCAAGCCATGACCATAAACAAAAAATCATTGTTCAGTCGTGACTAATTATATATTGTTGTTTCTCGTGTTACCAACCGAAAGAGCTTGAAAACATTAACTTGTTGGGGGATGCACTTTGCCAAAGTATCGCAAAAAAGTTGTGTATACATACGTTTTGTAACTTTACAATTGGCTTGTTTATGCTAAACCGTTTTCATATACAAATATAATTAAAAAATAACCCTTTAATTTGAAATCAAGCATAACATTGTTTATTAGTTCATACATAAATCTATGCGATTTAAATGAATCCACTTTTTATACATTCGACAATGATTTTTTGAGGCATATATCAGGGAATAAATTTTTCATGGCCATTACGCTTGATATGGCCAAGGCTTTTGATAGAATTGAATGGGCTAGTATCAGAATGATCATGTCTAAGATGGGGTTTCATTGTAAATTTATTAATTGGATTATGGCCTGTGTATCATCATCTGTCTTCTCTTTTAACATTAATGGTAGTGTCAGTGGCTATGTGATTCCCACCAGAGGAATCAGGCAGGGAGACCCAATTTCCCCCTATATTTTCATCATTGTTGCAGAATTTCTATCAGGTCTCATTTCCAAAGCAGCTTCGGAAGGTTCTCTCAAAGGGATCAAAATATCCAAGAATGGGCCTACCTTAACGCACCTGCTCTTTGCCGATGACACACTGCTTCTTTGTCAGGCTAACCCCCAAACTGCAAGCACCATCCTTCAGATCCTCCACACATCAGCGGTTCACTGGACAAAAGGTTAACATGGATAAATCCTCCGTTGTGTTCAGCAAAAACACTCCAGAATGCTACCAAAGTCACATTTGCTCCATACTCGATGGTATCCAGGTTAAACTCTCTCAACCAAATACCTTGGTCTTCCCATGAGCATTGGCAAATCAAAAAGGGATACATTTGCATTTGTGACTGAGGTTGTCAAAAACAAAATGTCCAGCTGGAAAAACAAATTCCTCTCCACGACAAGAAGGGAAATTTTGATCAAATCTACCCTTTGTGCTCTATCTATTTTTGTCATGTCTTGCTATACTCTGCCCACTGGAATATGTTCTAACCTCTCTAAACTGATTGCAAACTTCTGGTGGAATAAAGGTAACTCAGAGAAAACAGGTATACATTGGAAAAAGTGGGACCTCATTACATTGCCACTGTCTGAAGGGGGACTTGGTTTTTCTGATCTTAAACTATTCAATGAAGCCCTTATTATGAAGAAACTCTGGAGAATCCTCACTAAGCCGAATCTCTTAGTCAGCAGAGTCTTAAAAGCTAGATACTTTCCAGGCTGCTCGCTTTTTGATTGCAAAGTACCACAAACTTGCCCATGGCTCTGGAGAAGCTGGATGAAAACAAAGGCCACATTCACTGAGGATTTTTTGTGGAAATAGGCGATGGCAGAACAACCCAAATTTGGGAGCACCCATGGATCACATCTTTGCTTTCTCATAGGCCTCAGAACCGCAATCTCACTTACCATTTCACTAACATTATTTGGGTCTCTCAGGTGATGCTCGAAAATTGAGATGGTTGGAAATGAAGAATTAATAAGGTGTATATTCATAGATTCCGAATGTCAAGCTATTCTGAGTATCACCACTATTGACAAGCATAGAAAAGACAGGTTTGTTTGGAAATTTGACAAGAAAGGATCTTTCACTGTGGCCTCTTCTTATGCTAACTTAATTCTAAAAAAAGTTAGAGGTCTAGACACTCCTGAATCCAGTACTCACCAATGCTGGATGCAGACGATCCGAACTTTCAGCTGGAAATTAAAGATAAAAAGGAAGATTAAGCACTTCCTCTGGCAATGTTGCAACAAAACACTCCCTGTCAACAAGAAACTGATCAAAAGAGGTGTGGATCTCGACCCTATTTGCAAAGTCTGTGGAGAAGCTGAAGAGGATGTAGCACACCTGTTTTTCAACTTCCCCAAAGCTCAGGTTGTATGGAAACTAGCCCCCATTTGTTGGAACATGGACCCGATCAGCTCAGAGGACCTCATGCATTGGTGGAAGCCGGTTTGTCTCACTCCAAAAGATCCTGAAGCGGTGGACATAATCGAGCTTACCACTTATTTACTTTGGTGGCTCTGGAAGGCCCGAAATTTATGGGTGTTTCAAAATGTTTGGAAACCTGAGAAAGAGATAGTAGATGCTGCTCTATTGGAGTGGCGGGAATTCTCTTCTATTTAGTCCGTTTATTGTTTATTTGTTTTTGTCCATTTCTGTTTTGTTTTTCTCTTCCTAGCTAGGCTCTCTTGAGCAGTGGTTAGTTGTGTTATTTTGCAGCTGTTATAAGGGGACATGGCCTCAGTATACTTTACTGTCATTCAGCCTACTTGTCACAGCGTTGTATTATTTTTGGTTGTATTTGCTCTAGTCCCTTCCGTGAGGGTCTCCCTGTATTTCTTCTATTTTTTGGCTAGTTGGCCGCCCGAACGTTGTACATTTTCAGTTTAATGTTACTATCGNAGACAATGATTTTTTGAGAAAATGGGATAAAAGTATAACTTTAGCGATAGGATAAGAAAAAATATACCTACACTATCTCGGCTAAAAACCTACGAAAGTGTAGTTATTTAATAATACTAATACTAATACTAATACTAATACCAATACAAATAATAATAATAATAATAATAATAATAATAATATCAAAGGCAAAGAAAGTTCTATTAGCATTTTTTCCAAATATTTTCCTCATAAAGTCGTGAGAAGTCCTTATGTCAATTGTCGTCAATCACTCAAAAAACTCTATTGTCTAAAGAAATCTCATGTGTCATTTCATTTTTTTTTTTAATTTATTTAATACTACTACAAAACTGATTGCTCTTCCTAAAAAAGCGTGCGAAGCCGCAAAATCAGTCCACAATTGACGCGTCAGCGACACGTACTCCGTCTTTGCATGGATTGTTTGTGGTTGTGGCCTTACTTTTAATATTAAAAACTGCCATTATTTTCCGCAACGGTATATCGAAATAAATAGGAATAAATCTAATAAATAAATAAATAAATAAATAAATGTGGAGACAAAGTCTTCATACTTGTTTGTTTCCCCATCTTTAAAAGCGCCCGAAAACGAATTGTGAACAACAAACAACTTGTGTGAGAACTTATTCTCAGTTCTTTAACAATCTCTGCTCTTTTTCTCTTATCTTTTTGTTCTTTAAGAAAAAATAATTTTCATTTAATATTTATCAGTTTAACCTTAAAAATTACTAAAGAGATGGAATTGAAGAATATGGTTGCCCTCGTTTCTCGTACTGGACGACATATGCAGCGTTACAACTTTCATGGCCATCGTCAAGTTGTTGGGTTCGTTTCTCTCTCTCTAAAAAACCCATAATTAAAGATTAATTTCATGTTTACCTCCATAATTTTGTTCTTATTTTTTACTTAGTGGGGGCCAATTAGTGCTTTTGGCCGAGTAATTAAGAGTTGACCGCACAGCCAGTCAACCTCTATTAAGGAGTAAAAAGAATGATAACTAACTAGATTGGGTTCTCTTAAGTGATGTTCTTAAAATTTTAATTATTTTGGTCATGAACTTATCAACATAAGAATTTATTTTGTTATGAGTATGTAATTAATATGACGCCTGCCAGGTTATTGGAAGAGTATTTTTGTTAAAACATGCTTTTTTATTTTTATTTTTTTTATGTTAGTTTTGAGAAAATTAATTAAATTAAATTATGAGAAATCATTTTCTATGGAGTTTATTGTGTATGGGAGATAAATCTTTGAGAGGAATATTAATGACTTTTCGGTTAATTGGAAAGAGCAAGGATTTTTCCCTGTCGGTGTCGGTTTTGACTTAATTCCCAAATATATATATTTAAATTACTAGATAGGTAAAATTAACCTGAGAAGTTTCTTGGTCTATTACTTTGGAGAAATTGAGATCTTCACAATGATTTGCCTAAATATTTTGTTTCTCTCTATATTTGTATTTTTTTAAAATGCAATTAATATTATGTCTTTTAGTAGCACCAATAACTCCATAATGGGTCCACATGCTGGGATTTGTTTTTGGCCTGCACGATTGACTCAATTTTGGTCAATGCAGCGTGTGATTCGGGTTAGAATGAATCTAGCTACACTTAAAACGAAATTTACATATTCTAAATAAAAATCTAACCGATAATGTATTCTAATAAAAATTATAATGGATATTTCATTAAAAAAAATCAACAAAAATTTTCCTTTTGTGGAAAGCTTCAATTAAAATTTTCATTGGATAATATATTTATGTTGGAATTTCGCGAATTCTTGTAATTCTAGGAAATAATCAGATAATACCTAGCTAATCAATCTTTGAAATATTGTCATTTTTGCACTTCTCGAAAAGTTTCCCAGCAATAATATAGCTCGACTTATGTATCGTGGATTTTAACTCTAAAAATATTATTTCAATTTTCGGTAAAAAAATTGAGTTGATCAAGTATATGCTTGTTTGTTTATGCAGATGCATCCCATATAGATACAAAAGTACACTTGGGACACAATCCATTGTGGATGAGGATGACATTGAAGTTCTTGTTATCACTTCACAGAGGAAAGGAAAAGGAATGTTGTTTCCAAAGGTATATATATATAGTTAATATTCAACTAAC